AAAAAAAAAGGTGCAGCAGTTAACTGGATGAGCTGGTGAGTAGACAAAAGACCTTTGGTTTATACTCGTCCTTTCCATACATTAAGCAGAACGCTCATGCATTGTGAGTACTGTACAAACGTATCCCATAAAGTAATTATTAGTAACTGTACATAGCAGATTCAGTATATCAACAATCATCACAGAACACTCGCTACAAATATTGCTTAGATGAATGTAAAGTATGTGAAGTACTTCAGTAAATCACAGGATACATAACATGTATCTTTACCTGCTGTGTCTCTGCCTGGTACCATAGTGGGCTTCATGTATGAAAAAAAAAAAAAAATACATCTAGTTTTGCCAGTAAAATATTGAAAGGCAAAGTCTGGCTGCTATGGCAACATGGACTCTATCAAAAACATTTTATAGATAAGACCTATGTTCCTTTTGCTTGCATTATCAGCATATTTTAGCTGCAATTGAGAAGTTGGCAGGTCTGGCCTGTAATAATGCAAATGTGTAGATATTAACAATTACAGTACTGTAAAATGACACACAAATAATAGGTGGAAATCTGACCAAATAGCTACTATAGAAATAGAAACTGTTGGGATACATATACTGTATGTGTACAGTTTTACCTGCCAAAATATTAGTACTTTTACAATTTTGTGATTCATATATCCCGACAAACCAAATAGCCAAACGGGTGACACCATATCTCTATTACAGTTAAACAATAGGGTGGGGTGACCTCTCTGCCCTAGATGGTTGGGACAAGGGAGGGGTATTGCTATACTGATTAAAGGCCCCATTCACAACAGGGCGGAAGCGTTTGTGTGGTTTCAGCAGAATTTTTGAAAGGCCATTTTTTAATCGCGTTTCAACTCTGAAACGCAATTAAAAAACGCCCACAAACGCGCTGATAAGTGCATTTACATTGAAATCTATATGGAAGCCGAGCTGATCATAGAAACAAAAGTAGCTCAGGGAGCATTTTGGGCGACAGGCAGTTTTGGGGCGTGTGGAGCCCCGCGCTAGCATGAACGGTCCCCCATAGTAATGTATAGGATTGTTTATGTAGGCGGTTGAGAGCAGAAAAATCCTGAGCCCTAGTGTGAACGGGGCCTAAGTCTTCTCTCCGCTTTCTCTTCCCATCAGCAAGCTCCCAGTACTTAAAACCATGTTAGAATGATAGCACTATGCAATGCAATAGCCCTCAACTATGCTGCTCTATCTTCTCTCTCAGTGCAGACATTTATAGGAAGCTATAACAAAAATAGATTCATGGTACATATAGTAGCAGTATTCAAAACAGTTACCATTTTTATTTATTTTTTAACTTTTTTATGTGGAGACTGTAATGTTAATGATACATACCAGTCCAAAGGGAGTGTACATATTAAAGTGTACCTTAACCCCCTTGTGACTACAAATCACGTCAGCATACAGCCCTGCATGCTATGAAATCATCTTATATTCATTGGCTAAACATATTTGTATTTTACTTACAATTTGTTTTTCTACTTCCTGGTCCAGTTCTGGCACAAAATCTTCAAAAATCAAATCAAACAAACAAACAGAGTCGGCAGCCAATGAGTTGCTGACTCTGCTCGTGCATTCTGACAGAGGATGGCGGCTGCGGTCAGAATACAATGCAAACAGCGGGAGATTCCTTGATCAACGCTCATAAGCATTGATGGAGGAATCTAATATTGTCTTTGTTCAGCTCCTGGGTTGAACGTAGAAAACATTTCAGTGTATGGCCAGCTTTACTTTCAATGGTGTCATGTGCTTTAAAAAGGTATAACTAAACCAAAGAACAAAATATTCAAATACTGCAGCTTACCATACCTTAGATATGGTTGACCATATTGGTTTTCTTTTTGAAGGAACTTTTTAGAAAATATCTATTGATATTGCAGGAAAAGTAATCACCAACCATAATGTAGATGAACAGACATGTTTACAGTCCAGCCTGGGTGGTAACCATAGCACTCTAACAATTACCTTCTTTTCTTTGCTCCTTTCTAGTCTGTCAAGTGAAACTATGGCCTTCAATAAAAAAAATAAATGCTGCAGAATGCAATTATAAACGCCTCTGCACCTACAGTTTTCTCTGCAAGGCCTTGTTCATACCGTGGCGTAACCGGAACACATGTTGCAGGTGGGTGCCACATGTACGACAAACGCAGGAGCGTAGCTCACGTAGAAGACTGCTATAGTTGTACCGCATTTTTTCCAACGCGTTTGTGCAGGAAGAGCGCACGTTTCCCCAGATATGTTTTGGATACGGTTAACAAGAACGGCGCATTAAATAAATGGCACCACAAGCGCGATATACGTTTTTGACGTGTTCTGTGAATGTGCTTTGTCTTTTAGTTGCACCTTAATTATTTATTTATTTTTAGTAGGTGCAAAAAAAAAAACAATTACTGGAATGTGTAATGTACACACTTCCTGTGTTATCTCAGCTCTCCCAGATCTCATATTGGAAGTATCTTGAATGTCAATCAATTGGATGATTTTTTATTTTTTTTTTAACCGTCTGGAGTTCAGCTTTAAAGGAATTTCCTTCGGAGACCTAAAACGAAAGTAGAGTACACCAGGAAATAACTTTCCCATATCTGTCTTCCTCTCTAGATTAGAATTCACATATGTAGATCAAAGAGTATTCTCATGGAAACATCACTGTGGCCATATGTTGCATTTCTAGGGCACCTCATTAGAGAACATTGTGCAGCTATGTCTAATATAGTGATTTAGGACATCAGAGAAAAAAAAACAAAAACTTTCCAGTCATACAAAATGTATTTTTGGGGCATCTCGGATAACAGGGATCCTAAAAAGCCATGCCTTGATGGCAACTGCCATTAAGGCTTGAGTATCAGAAAATGTCTCTAGACTGCCCAGCTTCAAAAAATTCCACCAAGCTACAAGGTTTACTGTGGCAAATTAACCACTATTTGCCTGTTCATCACTTTAGTCACCTAGCAAAGCTTTGTTAAAGCTTTCTATCCATCATCACCAGAGATTGTGCTTCAAAGTGTGACCATTTCTTTCAAATCAGGCTATGATTATTACTAGGTTTAGAGCTAGGGATGTTTGAAATGAAAAGACATACAAAGCCCTATTTATGGGGAAAAAAACTTGAGTAAATAAATTTAGGTATCCCAGGGAATATAATAAAATAAAAAGACATTAGCATACAACTGGCAACACACAAAATTGGCAGTTGCCTGGGTGCCATGCTGAACCAATGTCTTTAGCAAATTGTAAGTCAATGATCCCCAATAAGTGTGCAGAACAGACGTTTTGACTCTCAGAAGGAGGTCAGCAATAGCAGACCTCAATCATATTGGCACAGTTTTCAGTGCTTGATATATTGCAATTGGCCTCCAACGGGATTTGTAGAGTCCCAAATGAGGGTTAATCTTCTTTAAATTCCAGTTACTTTGCCCTGCCCCTAACACTCCCAGACTCGCAGAGAAATAATAGATTTCCCTGGTGGATTGAGGTGTCAAGAATAACACTGCTCAGAGCTAAAAGTATCTCCACATTACATAAGGAGTCCAAAATATGTTCAGTACTGAGCAAAGCGTAATCTAGTGCAATGAAATCCTCTTCTGTGGGGCAAATCTTCCTGCTACTGGGAATAACAAGTGTAGTAGTATAGGCATACCTCTATGAGCTCTATCAGACTCAAAGAAAAGATGGCAAAATACCATTAATAACAGACAAGCTGTAATTTATTTTGCTATATTACCTGAGCTATATTACACTCACCGGCCACTTTATTAGGTACACCTGTTCAGTTGCTTGGTAATACAAATTGCTAATCAGCCAATCACATTGTAGCAACTCAATGCATTTAGGCACCTAGACTTGCTGAAGTTCAAACCGAGCATCAGAATTGGTAAGAATGGGGATTTAAGTGATTTTGAACATGGCATGTTTGTTGGTGCCAGACAGGCTGGTCTGAGTATTTTCAAAAACTGCTGATCTACTGGGATTTTCACACACAAACATCTCTCGCGTTTACAGAGAATATTCCGAAAAAGAGAAAATATCCAGTGAGCGGCAGTTGTGTGGATGAAAATGCCTTGTTGACGTCAGAGATCATTGGGCAGACTGGTTTGAGATGATAGAAAGGCAACAGTAACTCAAATAACCACTCATTACAACCAAGGTATGCAGAATCTCTGAATGCACAACACGTCGAACTTTGAAGCAGATGGGCTACAGCAGCAGAAGACCACACCGGGTGCCACTCCTGTCAGCTAAGAACAGGAAACTGAGGCTACAATTCACACAGGCTCACCAAAATTGGACAATGGAAGATTGGAAAAATGTTGCCTGGTCTGATGAGTCTCAATTTCAGCTGTGACATTCAGATGGTAGGGTCAGAATTTGGCATAAACAACATGAAAGCATGGATCCACCCTGCCTTGTATCAACAGTTCAGGCTGGTGGTGGTGTAATGGTGTGGGGGTTATTTTCTTGGCACACTTTGGGCCCCTTAGTACCTATTGAGCATCGTTTAAACGTCATGGCCTATCCGAGTATTGTTGCTGACCATGTCCATCCCTTTACAACTACAGTGTAGACATCTTCTGATGGCTATTATTAGCAGGATAATGCATCTTGTCACAAAGCTCACATCATCTCAAACTGGTTTCTCGAACACGAGTTCACTGTACTCCCAATGGCCTCCACAGTCACCAGATCTCAATCCAATAGAGCACCTTTGGGATGTAGTGGAATGGGAGATTCGCATCATGTGCAGTGGACAAATCTGCAGCAACTGCGTGATGCTATCATGTCAATATGGACCAAAATCTCTGAGGAATGTTTCCAACACCTTGATGAATATATGCCACGAAGAATTAAGACAGTACGGAAGGCAATAGGGGGTCCAACCTGGTACTAGCAAGTTGTACCTAATAAAGTGGCCGTTGAGTGTATATACAGTATATGCAGCAAAAGCTATTTGACCAAGTATGTTATATAAAATTATCATTCAGCACTATTCCAAAAACTGCTAATTGAAGCCAGTGATCTGAACCATAGATCTTTTCCATTGCACATTTCTGAATGGTTTGTGAATGTATGTACGAAGTCGAAAAATTGCATGCAGTGTTAAAATGAAAAAAAAGTGACAAAATAAATATTAAAACATAGTCTAGTTGGGTTCTTCATCCATGTGAACTATGAATTTATTAAGTAGAGTCTAATAATCACAATGCTAAACAGTGATCCTATTTCACACATTTGTGCTGGATGTCCACCCAAGTAAACTTACCAGAAGGTTATGTACAATCCAACATTGGTTTTAGCACCATCTATTTCATTTCCAACCACACGGCAAAAAGCTACAAGCACTCAGGAGGAGATCCTGATACAGTAAAAATAAGGTGAGGGCGAGTGGAAATTTGGGTCTCCAAGTACCGGCTCGTGGTCCAACTCCGGCCCGCGAGCCGGTACTATGTGGCCGGCTGCCAGCTGACATGTCAGGCACACGGAGACCGCAGACCGCGTACCTGACTTGCGGGAGAAGCTCCACGGTCTGCATTTGTGTAGGATGCAGACCGCAGAGCAGCTCCTGTCAGCACTGGCTTCCTTCGGCTGGAGCTCTGACAGTTCTGAGCTCTGGCCGAAAGAAATAATGTATGTGAGCAGGATCGATGCCTGGTTATCTAGGGGTGATAGTGAGGTCTGCTGCAGCCCTCTCTAATCACTCACAGATAAACCAGGGATCGATCCTGCTCACAGCCTCCTCCCAGCAAAGACGTGAACAGGTGAGGGGGCTCGGGGGGAAGGGGTTAAGTGTATTATAATTTTGTGTGGAGGGGGTTAATAAGGGGGG